ATTGGTGAGGCATGATTTCCCTTTATAAAAACAATGTTGAGTCTTCCCCATCAAATCCTGTTCATCTATGCATCTAATAATTCTGTTCTTTACTGTAGTTTCATACAGTTTGCCCGGAACTGAAGTTAGGCTTAGTGACCTCTAATTGCCGGGATCACTGCGGGAGCCTTTTTTAAAAATTGGTGTCACATTAGCTATCCTCCAGTCATCTGGCAGAGAAGCTGATTTAAATGATAGGTTACATAACACAGCTAGTAGTTCTGCAATTTCACATTTGAGTTCCATCAGAAGTCTTCTCCAGCTTCCTTATGAGAATGTCATGTGGGACTGTGTCAAAAGCCTCGCTGAAGTCCAGTTATATTATGTCCACATCGCTTTCCCCCAGCCCCCAACCAGTTACCTTATCAAAGAAGGAAACCAAGCTGGTTTGGCAGGATTTGTTCTTGGTAAATCCATGCTGGTGATAACCCCTTCGTCCTCACAAATTGAAGATTTTATACATTGTTCTAGTAGCTTTCCAGGTGTCGAGGTCTGGCTGACTGGTCTATAGTTCCCCGGCTCCTCCTTTTCCCCCTTTTAAAGATCCCCTTCTTCCGTATTCTGGGATGTCTCCTGGCATCCATGAGTTTCAAAATATTATTTCCGGTGGCTCCAAGATTTCTTCCACTAATTCCTTCAGCACCACGGGTTGCATGGCATCCTGCCCCACTAATCTGAATTCATTCAGATCGGTCAGAAGATCTCTGATTTGTTCTTTACTTATCCCAGTCTGCCGCCCTTCCCCTTCATTGTCCATGGTAACTTCACTGGTGGCCTGCTCACATGTTGTTTTTTGTGGGAAGACTGAAGCAAAGCAGACATTGAGCAGCGCTGCCTTCCCACTATATTCTGCCTCCGCTCTCACACTTCCCACCCTCCCGTCTGTCTCTAGGCCTGTCCCGGACTGACGCCCCAGCCATGGGCAGAGTCCTGCTGCCACAGCAGGACCTCGGGAAAGAGGTGCTCTCACCTCAGGGCCCCCTCTGGAGAGCAGGGGGTCCTGCCACGCTGAGGGTCCTGCTCCTCGCCCTGCTCTGGAGGGGTAAGTAAGCAGCACCTGCAGCCCCAGTGCCGGGGGAAGGGCAGAACCTGCGCTAAGCGGGGCCAGGTCTGTCACAGAACTTGAAAGGGAGACTGGCCAGAGGGGAGGGGAGCCCAGTGCCCCAGTGTGGTCCTAGAGGCGCTGAGCGACAGGAAGTGGGCAGGGGGCTCGATGTAGGGAGGAATGAAAATTTAAATTGATTGAGATTTGGTCAAGGACTCAGGGCTGGGTTCGCAGGGGGCTGCAGGTCGGGAGTGAGGGGCACCGGCAGAGTTGGGGGCAGGGAGCTCAGGGTTGGCCTCTGCTCTCTATGGATCCCACTTTGATCCCTCTCCATCCCCTGCAGGGTCTCTGTCCCAGGAGTCTGGTTATTCCCTGAAGGTGCTGCAGTCGGTGTCGGTGCAGTGCGGTCTCTGCGTTCTCGTCCCCTGCACCTTCACGTACCCAGGCTCGTCTGACACTGACCATCCCCAGGCTCGTCTCTACGGATACTGGTTCAAGGATCAGGTCAATGTGGGCTATGATCCCCCCGTGGCCAGCAGTGACCCCAGCCGGGAAGTGTCGCAGGAGACCCAGGGCCGGTTCCGACTGGTGGGGAATCCAGGGCTTGGTGACTGCTCCCTGCAAATCAGCGACATGCAATGGAGGGACAGAGGGAAATATTTCTTTAGAGTTGAGGGAGACTTTAAATACAGTTACCGCTCCAATTACTATCGCACTCACCCTATTCTCACGATCTCCGTGTCAGGTAAGAACAGCTGCAGTCACCGCTCATTAGCCCCCCTTAGCCAGCCAGTTCCTGCCCTGGGCCCGGATCGGAGTCACGCCCCTAGAGGGGAAAGGCCCCGTGTCCACGGCTGATTCTCTCCCCTCTCCCCATGTCTCAGGGCTGACAGAGAAGCCAGAGATCCAGATCTCACCGGTGTGGGGGTTTCCAGGGACGCTGCTGCCCGGGGAGCCGGTGACTATGACGTGCACGGCCCCCGGGCGATGCTCCGGGCCCCCTCCCCAAGTCACCTGGACGGGACCGTTCAGCAACACAGCCCGGAATGTCTCAGCCCAGCTGGCAAATGGCACCTGGGCCCACAGCTCCGCTCTGAGCTTCATGCCCACCTCGGTTGACCACGGCAAAGAGCTCATCTGCAGAGTCACCTTTAACCCAGAATGGGGACCTGTCACCAGCAGAACCATCAAGCTCTGCGTCGGCTGTGAGTGACCCACCCAGCCCCTCCAAGCCCCCTCCGCTGGAATCCCCACTCCTGTGCTCCCCAGATCTGCCCTCCAGCCTCACCCCCAACTCAGCCCTGTGCTGGGATCCCCACGCCTCACCATGCACCCTCAGCCAATTCTACTCTAGGCTCCTTCCCTCCACACCTTCCAGCCCCTCCTCTCTTGGGATCTTCACAACCTTCCTGCCCCCCTTGGCTATGGCTCCCCCCTCCCATCCACGCCCTCAGGTCCCCAGGCTCTTCCCTTCTGGGATCCTCTCTACCCCTGACCTGCTCTACCCTGAGAATCCTCCTGTGCTGGGATCCACCCCTCCCCATTTCAGTCCCCTGTTGCAGGGATTCTCCCCCCTCACACCAGCCACCCCAGTTCCCCCCTGAGATCCCCCCAGGCTGTCCCACTGCATCTCCTCCACCCCCTCCCCTTTCTGCAGGGATCGGTGGATGCTCTATATGGGGCAGAGTGTTAACGGGACCCAGTTGCTGTTGGGCACTAAACACGCTCTGGGTCAGTGCCCAGAGACCTCGGCCCGCCCTGCCCCAGGGAAAGCCCCATTAAATGGCCCGAGCCCCATGAGCCCGACGCAATGGACCCAGGCTCTGAGGCTCGGCGCCGCGGGGCTTTGAGGGTAGCATGGACAGACCCTGCCAGGCCGGACCAGCGGGTATCAGCATCCAGCTGTTCTGCGTGTTACTTTTAGCCGCCCCTCTGGGTGCAGCTGGGCTGCAAAATACCCAGGCCTGGCCAGCTAAGCCAGAGGGTGAAAGGAGAGGGCTGGGGAGAGATGAACCGAGAGGGGAGGCAAAAGAACGATGATGAGGGTGTCTGATGTCCCTGGTGGTGGCTGGGTCTGGGACAGGGCTGGGAGAGGGGTTATTTAGACCCCTGGCTCTGGCCCACCCTGCGGAGAACACATTTGGGGAGCAGCTGAATTCCCGGGCACCTGGCAGACGGTGGCACCAAGATGGCAACACTCGCCCCAGTACCCAGGCCTGAGCAGCCTGGCCCCTCGTTAGTGCTTCTGCCAATTAGGCCGAATTTAAACCCACCATTTTTGGTCCCTTGGGTTTCGATTTCCCACAGTCCTGGGTTCCGTCAGGCGCCTCTTGGGTCAGGCTCAGTCGGGTCTGTCGCTTCCCTTCCCTGCCCACGGGTCTTGTGTCACTTCAGGGACTTTCCCATCTCCCAGCTGAGCTCACAGCGAGGGTCCATGTCTAGGCTCAGTGATCACTAGTGACTCCCCGCCCCCTGCACCATGGTGCTGTTCAGCCCCCCTGATCTCCGCTGTCTGGTTTGTGTTACAGACCTGCCTGGGCCCCTCAGCATCACCGGTACCCTGACCAGGAATGGACGCCCCGGTGAGAGGCCGCACTGCGAGCCCCGGGAATCAGCGAGCGCCTCCTAGTCACGCTCTGCCCGCGCTCAGGGCCAAGCGCCAGGCTCAGCTGGGTCAGGCTGATCCGTGCCCGGAGGGGAGAGCCCAAGGAAGCCTCAGGGCTGTAAGGAAGGAGGTGGGAGTAGCGGGCCTGGTTCCCCTCTGTCTCCAGAGCCTGGTGCATCATTAGGGGGGCACTGGGCAGCGGGGAGGAGATGGGTTATGGGCCGATCTCTGCGACGGAGACCTGCTGCCATGGAAAGGCACCGAGATTGTGCACCCACCCAAGAGCTGGCTACATCCCCACGCTGGGCGACGGGTCCCTGTATAAACAGCCCCCATGTCCCACCCCAGTGGTGATTGCATCTCAGCTCCTTAGTGGGGAATCTCTGGGGGGACCAAGGAACACCTGATCATCTTTTTCAGATGTGTGGAAAGCTGAGGGCGACGCGATGTCTCTACTGACCCACGAGGGCGACTCCCTGACCCTGAGCTGTGAGGCTGGGAGCAGAATCGAGGCCACCCTGAGCTGGGCCAAGGGGAACAAGTCCCTGAGCTCCGGCCAGGGAGGGGCCGGGCACCTGGAGCTGTTGAATCTCAGCAGAGGGGACGCTGGGGAGTATCGGTGTTGGGCAAAGAATTCCTACGGTTTGGCCAGCCGGGCCCTGT